TATTCGGGTCATTTGCTACTCCTTATTCTTGTTGGCCGGTTATACTCATAGTTTATAACTTGCCATCAAGAATGTGTATGGGACCGAAGTTCATGTTTTTATCTACTGTTATACCCGATCTAAGCAGCCTAGGATGGAATGTTTGTCTTTGACTGTTGATTGATGAGGTGTCGCAGTTGTGGTCTTCTGGAGCTCTGACTTATAATATATCGAGGAAATAAAATTTTCTTATGAGGGCGACTTTGATATCGACTATCAATGACTTTTCAGCTTATGAAATGCTTTCTGGTTGGAGCACGCATGGAAAACTCGCATGTCTATACTACATGGAAAACAACAAGGCATTCATGCTAGTAAATGGAGGTAAAACTTCTTCTTTTTTTACTGTTACCGTTGCTTCTTGCCACTTAATCACAGGTACATAAAGAACATAAAAGATTTCTTTGTTGGTAGAGTTGAAAAAGATGTTGCATCCCTGCATCTTTCTAGTGAAGAATTGTATGATGTTGTATCAGACTACGATGACATTGTGTTTGGCCTTCAATCAAGTAAGCAAAAGTTTTCTAGTTTTGGTTTGACCTATAATTGGGTAAAGCGAAGTATCTTTTGGGAGCTTCCTTATTGAAAGACCAATGTACTCCGCTATAACCTTGACATCATACATATAAAAAAACGTGTTTGAGAACATTTTCAACACCGTCATAGATGTGAAAGGGAAGACAAAGGATAACATCAAGGCTAGATTGGATATAACTTTATATTGTAACCATAAAAATATGGAGTTGGTTTATGATGAGTCACGGATCGCAAAACCAAGAGCAAGCTTTATGTTAGAGAAAAACGCACAACTGCTAGTCTACAAATAGCTTAAGAGTTTGATTTTTCCAAATGGACATGCATCGAACATATCAAGATTGGTTAATATAAAGGACTGTAGATTGTATGGAATGAGGAGTTATGACTGGCATGTGTTTATGCAAACACTTATCCCATGAGATTTTCGTGATTTGTTGCCAAAGGGAATATGAGATGCACTCACGAAGATTAGTCATTTTTTCAGATATATATGCTCTAGTAAGTTGAATGTTGAGCACATTGAGAGGCTTCAAACGAATATCATCGAGACACTATGTAAACTTGAGATCATATTCTCTCTATCATTTTTTGACTCAATGGAGTATCTCCCTATACATCTACCGTTCAAGGCAAAAGCTAGAGGACCAGTCCAATATAGGTGGATGTACCCATTCGAATGGTTAGATATTACAGTTGCAATGTAATTCATATATAAAAGTATTTTCTATGTTTTTCTTAATTGAAATCTATGTTTTTCTTAATTGAAAATACTAGATTTATTCAATGCAAGTACTTGTTTAATCTCAAGAAAAAGGTTAAGAACAAGGCGTATGTTGAGGCTTCGATATGTGATGCCTATATTGTTGAGGAGATCTCAACATTTATCTCGTACTATTTCGAACCTCATCTAAGAACGAGAATCAATCACATTTCATGGCATGATGATGATAGTGAAATGCCTTCCAATGGGAACTTGTCAATATTCTCCAATACTGGACAACCCATACCTAAAAATATTTTAAGAGAAAGATATTTGTTAGAACTAGAGTTCAAACAAGCACACAACTATGTTCTTGAGACCTTTTATTCAGTAAGTTTATATATGTGTAATGCTAATTAAACTTTGTTAGTAATATACTATTAATTATATATTATAATATTATATACTTATAATCACTTGCAGGAAAAATCAACAATATTTGTTCTCCAATAACTCACAACTGACCAAATTCTAGATCTTTCAATTACAAGATGAATAATTTGCCACGTGGTTCAGAACACATGTAAGCATTATCACAAACTCATTCTAACTTGCAAAGTTACTGTATGTATGCATGTCATTATAAGATTCTCATTCATTTACTGTTTATTGATGTATATTACATACAAGGTTTATCAAATGGGAAGGAGTGCGCCTAAGTCATTGTCTTCACTAAGCCTAGGGCCTGAAAGAAAATGTAAGTGCTACAATGGGTATTTTATCAATGGATATGTTTTCCATACTAAAACTATGGGCAAGGAAGAAAGACATACAATAACGGTGTTTGTGTTAAGGGATCCACTAGTAGTGAATTAGAAGTTGACTACTATGGTAGATTAGAAGAGGTTGTCAAACTACAACATCATAGCGAGCAGAATAGAGTGTTTTTATTCAAATGCTATTGGTATGACAAGACTGACAAAGGAATCAGAGTTGATCCGCACTATGGTCTAGTTGAAATCAACTCAAAAGCTAGACTCCACAACATAAATGATGCCTTTGTTTTCGCAAAGCAATGTCAACATGTTTATTACACATACACCCTTTTATTTAGAAAAGATCGATCAAGAGTGAATTGGTTGTCCATTTTAAAAATGAAACCCCTGGGTCGTGTCAAGGTTGTTCAAGATAAGAACGAAGACACAAGTGTGCGAGATGAAGTCTTTCAAGTTAGTGAGTTGGTTGAACCATATCGAGTTGCTCCTTCGAATGAATTGGAAGAAAATTCAAATTTTTGTATTTTCAATAATAGTCTTATTGATATTGACTTAGAGGAGTTGAATGTTGTTTTGAGCTCTAGCAGACAGGCAAATATCGATGAAGAAGATGATCTCCATATTGAAGATTGCGATGAAGGTGATGACTATTCAATTGAATAATAGTCTTATTGATATTGACTTAGAGGAGTTGAATGTTGTTTTGAGCTCTAGCAGACAGGCAAATATCGATGAAGAAGATGATCTCCATATTGAAGATTGCGATGAAGGTGATGACTATTCAATTGATGACAAAGAAAAAGAAAATTCTAACCAACTATCAAAAAGAAGCCCTGTGTAAAACCTTTTTTTTCATGTAATTTAGATTATGGATGATATATCTTGCAATATGAAATATTTATTGTTTAAGTATTGTTGTTATTGTTTTATACAATGAACAATTTATCATTTAAGTTTTCATAGGAATGTAAATAGGCAATACAAACACAACCTTTCTTATACAATGCCACAATCACCGATGTCCATACCAATGGAATAATATCCGTCGGTATTTCATAGAGAGTTCGAAAATAATTAGTTGAAATACCACAATCACAGATATCCATATCGACAGAATATGTCCATCGGTATTTAACTTGAAATTCCATAATCACCAACATCCATATCAACGGAATATGCGTGTCATTATTTCATAGAGAGTTTGAAAATAATTACTTGAAATGCCATAATTACTGATGTGCTTACCGACATATTTATGTTCGTCGGTAAGTTGTCGGCAAGTCAATTTTACCGATAAAATTACCGACGGACTGAACAAATTCCAAAGGGCGGTGCATTAAATGCATCTTTGACCACGTCATTTTACCGACGGCATTACCGACGGACCACGAAAAATATGGAGGGGCATTAAACATTTTGGTGCGAAATTCAAAAATTACCAATGGAATTTTGACACTTTACCAACAAAATAAATAAAAATAATAATTAATTTGATATCTGTTGGTGAATCCGTCAGTATAACTGCCATATAAGTTCCAGCGAGCACCCCTTCAGTTTATTTTTTCTTCTCCTCCGATTTTCACCTTAAATTTTGATTTTTTCCCTCTCTATTCTTCAAAGCTTTCACCTCTAATCTCTAGCAAGTTTTCTTGTGAATCTTTATCAGTTTAAAAGGTATGTGTTTCTTCTATTTTATTTTACTTTAAAGGTTGTTTTTTTGCTTTTTTTTTTGTTATATTTTTTGTTTTGGTGTATTTTTTGTAATGTAGATAAAGTCTTGAATTCAACACATTATTAAACTAAGCATATTTCATTCCTAAAGTCTATAGTTTTTTTTTTAATTTATTGTTTTGTTGTATTGGCATAATTATTATTAGTTAATTTGTTGAATATTTATTGTTAATGTTCAATTTACCTTAGAATTAGTAATTGAATATGTTGGAATAATTATTAATTTTACTCTATTATTGCATGATTTGTGTTTTATTTTTTCAATTTATTTTGATTGTTAATCTAGAGTTTTTTTTTTAATTTATTGTTTTGTTGTATTGGCATAATTA